AAATGACTAATTAAAGAATGGCTGACATGCTAACTCCTCTTAGAATAACTGTCTGTGCCACTTACTTTATTCTGCAATATTAACCTTAAAGTTATATTTAATAACAAAATTCCTGAATTGATATTTGACTTTTGCCCCAAAAAACCAGCCAAGTTCACAAGCCCAGCTGATATTCAAGGCAACCACAATATAGGGCAAACTAATAAGAAGCACCCAGGAAAGACTTCTGGACAAGTGCTCTTTGTGTGGTATAGCAGGTGTATAAAATCTGACCTGAAGCTGTATAACACTCTGATTATACCTCAGCGTAACTCTTTAATACTTTCACATGACACGGAGACTCATTTCATTGCTGATAAGTACAGCTCAGGGTAGGACATAGAAAAGGGCCCCTGGGCTTCCAGCCTGGTGATCCAGCCTCCGCCCGGATTCAGATGGAGATGCGGGAGCGGGCCTGTGTAAGCACAGCTCCTGGTCGGCCGTAATGCACACCGAACGCCTCGTCTCCAATTCGCCCCTTATCGCCTTCCCGCTTGGAGATTTCTGATGGGTTATTGCCCAAAACCAACGTTTGCGGGTTTCTGTGCGCCGGGCTGAATTTCTGCACGCATATCTGATTCTATTACACGTGGGATGTGTCTGTCCCCCCCCATTCAGATCCTCCATCTCCTCCCCCTCCCCTCCCGTTTCATGTCTACCCTGCTCCCACTCTCATTTTGCCTTATCAATCAAAAATATATTAACTGGAAACTCAGCCCCCATTACAGCTAGGATTCCACAGACATCTCCGATAAGCTGTCTCATTAATAAGCGCCATGCCTTCAAAGCGCTGGTTCACTCCCCCCCCCCATCCCCCATATATTTTACTCATCGTGGTACAATCTGACCCCAAGGACAGACAGAATGTCCTGTACAGGGCACATTATGACCATTATGAAGTTAAACAATATGAGCCAATAGAAAGCGCCCTTTTCCGTATTTTTAGGTCAGCAAGCCAGTCATAAATTTTTTACAGACTAGTGTACACAACCTATACTTAACCCAATGAGCCAAAACATTATCACCACCCCCATGTTAAGTGAATAATGTTCACTGACTCATAAAAATGGTGTGTGTCAAGGCCTGGACTATATTAGATGGTAACCTAACATTCAGTCCACAAGCCTTGTCATTTGGGAGATGCTCTGACCCAGTCATCTAGCCATAATGATTTGGCCCTTGCCAGAGTCACTCAGATCTTTATCCCTGCCCATTACTTCTGCATTCAACATGTCAACGATGAGAATCGAATGTTAGGCTACCGTCTAATATATCCCAGACTTTGATATGCACCAGCTTTACTAGTCAACATTATTCCTTTCACATGAGGCTAGTCATAACGTTTTGGCTTATTGGCGTACGTTTGAACTAATATCAAAATAATCGCAAAACGTGTGAAGCATACAGGAATCCACAATATCTCTCACTCACACACACAGCTGTGAAGCAATCGGGCCTCTTTTGGTCTCACGCACACACCCGCACACATGGACAGGAGGTACCAGGGTCCCACGTTCTGAGGCGGTACTCAATAGGACAAGATTCAGATAAACTGCAATTGTACTGTTAACAAGGGTCAGCAAACAGGAGACACAATTAGGTGTGGAGAGAGAGACATTGCTGGGAGGGTAGTGAAGGAGATGGACACGAAGATGGGAGAGCAGAATGAGTGAGAAGCAGGGGATTATAGAGTGGGCGGTGAAAGGAGCTGGGCATTTAGAGAAGAGATGGATTGAGAGAGAGGCACTAGGAGAAAAATGGTGGGGAGGAAGGGAGAAAAAGAGAAACTGGAGAAAGGCAGAGGGGAAAGAAAGAGGGATTTTTTTATTCAGCTCTCCTTCACTTTCTGTTCAAGTAACTCGGGAAGATAAGACTAAAAGGGCCGTCAGTCAGCAGGAACAATCTGCACACTGTAAAGTGCCCACGCCGCCCGCCCCGCCCTGCCGCGGCCCACCCCGCCTCGGCCCCCTCCGACCGCGGCTCTCTCTGGCAAGCAACAGCACTCAGATTTCCCCAGATCCCGGTGCCGATACGGCCCCCGTCCTGTGGGGGTGTCTCTCTGCGATCACCAGCCTCAGCTTTGAAGGGCCCCCAGAAATGCTCGCGTCGACGCAGTCACGCGTTCACCGGTCTCAGTCCGATTCCAGCTCCATCCTCGATCCCCCGTCTGCCAGATCCATTACATCTATTGCTTATGGAAGCCAGCTCCATCAGTACAGCCTACAGGCTGAGAAAGTGGGAAAAACAGCAGGTCAGTGTCATTTCAATGTGTTTTGCACAAGCGCCCCAAAAAAGTCTCAAATTCAGCATTCAGAGAATAACAATTTGACTAACTAGTAACTACGGTCATGGTCCATCAGAGTTTGTGTATATTTCAAATGTTATTTCTTGTATAGTGTAACTTATTGTTTGTACAGTGTCATTTATTGTCTGTGTACTAAGGAGTCTCACGCAGCCGGAAGCAAATTCCTTGTGTGCCCCAGTACACTTGGCGAATAAAGCTGATTCTGATTCTGAGTTTTGGCCGTGGTTATTTCTAAATTACTTCCGGGACTTTTTTTCCAGAGTCACCATACTTGGACCAGATTCCTTAATTATAGTGTCAAAATCAGGACTGTTCCCCTAGGGGAAGGGGGCTCCCTATATTAGTTAAAGAGTCAGCTCATTTTTGCAGAAGGTGAGGCCCCGGCAGTGACACAAACACCAGGCTGGAGCTTCTAAGCTGCCTCCTACTCTGAAGATCTTCAGCTCTGCGGGAGCAGAAAGCCCATGGCAGACCCACCTATCCGTGTTCACTCACCCGGGAGAGGGGTCCCATGGGAAGAGCCAGGCACCGGCACACCTGCTAGTCTGCCACCAATGATACTATCAGCAATCAGATCGATGCAGAAAGGGGCTGGACAGCCTTCATCAGCTACTCCATTAACGAAACCGGATACATGTGTGTGAGAGAGATATGCAGTGGGAAGGCAGTGTACTGAAGGCACACAGGGGGGCAATGGAGCACCAGGTAGCCACACAGAATCACATACAATCATAGTGACCGCAGAAACACTGACCAGAGCAAAAACACACTTATTCAGAATTTGCAGTGACTTAATCATACTTCATTTTACACAACAAATACTTCAAACTCTAAGAAGGCCCGACCAAAAAAATGGCTGTAGTGATTGAAATTGTACATTCTAAATTAATTTAAAAATGTTCAGCTAATGAACTTGACACATTCTATACCAGATGAGAATAATAGGCTTTGTCGATATTTACTCAGAATATACACGATGAGCCAAAACACATTTAGCACGTTTTGACTTTGTTCATTTGTTCAAATGTATACCAATAAGCCAAAACATTTTGACTAGCCTTACGTGAAGGTGGTAATGATAAGTAAAAACAACACATGTCAAGATCTGGGACATATTAGATCAGGGGTGGCCAATCTTATCCACAAAGGGCTGGTGTGTATGCAGGTTTACGCTGCAACTCCCTAATTAGGTCACCAATTAGAGGACTGATTGGCTGAAGAGTCCTTACACCTGGATTTGAACATCTGACCTAAAGGTTATCCCAAAAACCTGCATACACACCCTTGTATTAGATGGTAAGTTAACATTCAGTACTCGCAGTCAACATGTTGAGTGCACAAGAAATTGGCAGGGAAAAAGATCTGAGTGACTCTGACAAGGGCCAAATCATTATAGCCAGATGACTGGGTCAGAGCATCTCTGAAATAGCAAGGTTTGAAGGGTGCTCGCGATCAGCTGTGGTCTGTACCTACTGAGAATGGTCCAATGAGAGAAAAACCATGATCCATCAACAGGGTGTTAGATGGCCAGGACTTCTTGATTCAGGATGTGAACAAAGGCTATCCTGTGTGGTAAGAACCAACAGAAGGGCACAAATGGCGCATGATTTTGATAATGGTAACAGGAGTAATGTCTGGATGCACAGTACATTGAGCCCTGCTGCGTATGGAGCTGCGTAGCCGCAGGCCAGTCGGAGAGCCAATGCTAACCTGTCCAGCATTGAGAGCAGCATTAATGGACATCGGATCTGGTCCTTGCAACAATGAAAGGCTCCCTGGTCCTATGAATCCCGTTTTCAATTTCATCATGCGGACGGGCAGCTATGTGTTGAGTATCCTTGGGATGCGTTGGACCGACAAGTCCGATCCACAGCTACATAGCCCCTTTCACAGCACAGATTATCGGCCATGACACACTAATCCCTAGAACATCATGAGAATGATCTATTTGTGCCGCAATTGTCCTTCTGTTGGTTCGTACCTCATGGGACAGCCTTCATTCCCATCATCTGCCCAACACCCTGTTGCTGGTTTGTGGTTTTCTCCCCTCAGACCACTGTAACTTGGTAATCACCCAAGCTGACTGTGAGCACCTCAAAAACCTTGCAGAGATGCTCTGACCCAGTCGTCTGACGATAATCATTTGGCCCTTGTCAAAGTCACTTAGATCTTTATCCCTGCCTATTTATTCTGTATTCAACACATTGACTACGAGTTCCAAATGTCAGCTTACCGTCTTATCCAAGACCTTGACACAAACCATTTTGACTCATTGTGCATATACAATATGAGGCTCAGTGAGCTAAGTCTGTGTGTGTGTGATCAGAAGGTCACCAGGTCGTGCCCCCAGCTCCCTGGGCGCCGCAACAGGGGGCTGCCCTTCACTGCCAACTTGCTCTCACCTACACAGAGTAAGCTGGGAGAGGCGGAAAGAGCATTTCTTCATGGGGATCAATAAAATATCAATTATTAAAACTGTGGAAGATATGTGGTTACAGAGTTTGTTCACAATTTGGTGATCTAGCATCTCTAAATAGTCTGTAGCATATGATTGTGTGTGTGTGTGTGTTACAAGGGCCCGTCATCCTATCTAGGACGTCCATGCTGGGGACAGGTTTCAAGCGACCCTGGTCCGGATAAGTGGCTGAAAGATGAATGCATGTTCATGTTGACTTTATTCTGTCAAATTCAGTAAAAACATTTCCTTTAAAAAAAAAAAAAAAAAAAAGAAACATTAACAGAAAGCATATTCTCATGAAAAACAGAGGACATGAGGAGAGGACAGAGACAGGAACAGCAGCCCAATTAGCATGAAGTCCCGACTGCTTGTTCCCCGATGCTCTTTCCCAATAACGGCAGACTTGCGTTCGTTACATGACCATCCAGCCAGCATACAGGTCTATCTCCACTCCCTTTCTCCTCCTGCTCAAATCATCCCAAGCAGAGCAGAGTCTCAACCACATAAAACATTACAATCAGTGACACATCATCAGACTGCAGCCTGTCACATCACCCAGACAGAGTAGGACAGCCCCAATCAGCTTAGACCACTCTTTCTTTTTAGTTATATTAACAGATTAATTTACAGTCTCAATAGATAAATCACAAATAAAACCCATCTTTAACAGTAGTAAAAATAACAAACTGGAATTCTATAAAATGATACAGATTAGTGGGTTGGATAAACACACCAGAGTTGTAATGATAAATCCAAATGAAGACCAGTGAAGAGACTATGCTCAGCCTTGCACATTTGCACCTCGGATGTCTGTTAATGGGAAAAAAATCACACTGTTCATTTCATCCCTTCATCCCAATCCTTATACTGCCTCCTTACCACCCCTATACCATGAGTACATATATTCTCACTCATGTTGTGCATCCATGATTGATTTGCACAAGCATTCAGGACTGTATCATCTTCTTGTGGGGGTCAAAAACATATCTTTTGAAGGTGAGGCAGATGCTGACTGGCTGTGAGTGACTGGCCTCGTCCTCTTTGGATGGTTCAGTCTTGCTTCCACCTTTGGCTTTCTTCTTGGAGGAGGACAGCAGCTGCTTGGTCCCAGCACACAACCCCTCTGCAGGGTTGGGAATCGGGATGCACATGAAGGACACAAACAGATACAAAGGGAATAGAGAGAAACACAGTCAGACACAGCACGCCTCCCACCCTTTCACAAGGAGCATGGTAAGCAGTTGATCACTCAAACTGGACATTAACAGTAGTGGTCTGGGTATATCCACAGTTCAGTTCCTCAGCCATTACTCCACCAGCTGGCCAAAATGCAAGACAATGACTTCAATTTTGATACTTTTCCAAATTTTTTCTGGAAAACACTATCAAATATTTCATTTTTCAACCACGGCCCCTCCTGGGCTTCGTAATGGATCTGAATTAAGCGGTTATGAGCTGAACAGAAGTATTGTTAATAATATTTGGGTCATATGCAGGCAGTTCAGACAAAATAAAATTTAAGCATATTAAACAAAAAAAAGCTAGTCTTGCATCATTTTGTCTTTATTAATACTCGCAATTCAAAACATGATCAAGTTGAATTAATCAGCGAGTTCTAATCGCTCATGAAATGGGGACTGGAGGTCCCCAAACATTTTTCCTCAAGGGTCAAATTCCATGAGCAACACAAAGTCAAGGTCCACTGCATCCAAAAAGTGGGAGGCCATGTGTCCCGACTATTGGCATGCAGAGACTTGCAGACATTTAACTAAAGTCCATCCTAAAACTATTTCTTGGACTATTTAATTATAACCATATTTGGTCATTCTGGTCATTGGAGTAGCCAGTCTATTGAATGATTATTAAAATACTGAGCTAATGCAAAAATATTGATATCACACTTTGTATTCTTTTTTCAAAGCATCAACCTAATATCCTAATGAAAACATAATATCTTCTCTTCAAAAAGAAAAATATATTTCAGCTTACAAAATATAAGCCAAATTGTTTTGTACCCCAAATTCATTTTTTAAACTATTTCTGAATTTATAATAAACCTCACCTCACAGACATGCTTGAATATATGAATGACTTAGCTGTGTTAGGTTAATACATTTTGATGCTGTAAATATTACACAGAAGTAAAAATACTGTCTGAATGTGGTATATAATGCTTCCTTGTTGTTAGCCAAAAATAAATCTAATCTGACTATCAACCTAGAAGAGGTTCAAGAACTTTCAGATGTTTAATATATAAACTACTGGTAAATAAGTACTTGTTCCACTGTTAGTATGTTTCACGACCTTTACGAGAACTGTTTGCAGATATAAGACCCTCATAAAGCAATCGTTTTTGGGTTATTAACTTATTATGTTTCTCCAAATATACGTCATAAAACAGTTGATAATAGTATGGAGTGTATTTGCTGAAAATAAGATATTTCATGCAAAATAAAAACTTATTCACTAAAACTTGTATAATTCACATAAATCCAATCCAATCCAATAATGAAATTTATTTCTCTGTTAATTTAATATCAGTCTATTCATATTTCAGTGAGTACCATTCATCCAGTTGGTTAAATTCAGTTGCACAAATTACCTGCACAATCCAATCAAATTCATTCACAGTGGTACATCCCGATCTAGGAACACTGAACCCACTGAATGTATCATTGGATTAGCCGTACGCATTGTCGTCTCAAAGATGAAAGAAGAAGCGAGGTCATGATGTAAACTTTAAAAAGAAATAAATTGTGTGTTGCAAATTCAACTGCGTTTCGGTCCTAATAAGGACCAGCGTCCACTGCAGTAGACTGTGCATGAATATGTACAGTACATTACTGCCACAGAGAGGCATAATGAAAGCTACTATTTTATAACATGCTGGTATTGTACCGTTTTTAAAACTCTAGCACCGCGTTTTATTTCCAGTTTAGCTGAGGAGGTCCGTTATTCGTAGTTTTCACAAGTGGCAGAAACAGACTTAGTAATACCTCACACTAGAGAGGACACAGTCTGACAGTAAGAAAATCATGCAAAAGAGAGACCCCAAGAGGCCTTCATTTAAACTCAGCCACGAAGGCCTTGGGGCCTGGATAGTCCATTACAAAGAGACAATTTAATTTAACCCCTGCCGCCTGCCGCTCTTTCATCTGCTTCAAAACACAAATAAAATGAAGCTAATTAATAATAATGTTACAAAAAAAAAAAAAAAAAACGTTCTGGTCTTTAAACAATAGGCAAGGGGGGATGGCAAACAGAGTTATCTCTACCAAGAGAAACTGGCTTAGCCAGGCCTCAGATGTGACAGTATGCATAAACAGGTTTAGGGTCTTTAAAAAACTGTCAGTTTAATATGCCTAATTAAACGATGACAAAAACAAGACAGGATGTTTAAAATTAGGACAGTGAGAGAGTGCCCAGCCTGCTGAGACAGCCAAATGAGCATTTCAAAATACTCAAAATACCCTTTCTTAGTGTTATTTTTACTGATAAAATGCAGGTGACCTTTTCATAAAGCCAGTCTGCCCACCCCCCCCCCCCCCCCCCTTCAAAGACACACCTGATCTTGATCTTGTGACAGTAATGGAAAGCATTCAAAACAAAAACAGACCAGACCAGGAAGGAAGAAGAAGAAGACAAAGAAGGAACTCCAAAACGAAAACAAAAAAAGCAGGTCAGAGGAGTGAAAAGGGCAGTGAGCCACTGCAGTAGCTCCGACGGAGAGCGAGCAGAGCCAGACCTCACCCGGCACACGGATCTTGAACTTGCCACTCTGGCCGAACCCCCCCTCGATGATACCAGCCTCCCCTGTAGATAGTGCCACCTTCAGGCCCATGAAGAGCTGCAGGTTCGTCTCCTTCTTGAACAGGTTTCGGCCAATCACAGTGTAGTCGTCGGTCACCTGGGCAGGGAGACGGAGAGTTAGCAGTTCACCAGCATCTTCGGGAAATGGCTTGGCGCAGAATCGGGCTGGATGCCCACGGTTGGGGGCGACTCGGCGCGGCAGCCTAATGCCCCCCCCCTCCCCGGCAATGTAACCTTGCGTGAGAGGTTCGGCTATGTGTATTGTGAATAGCTCGAAGGCACTAGTCAGGGGGGTCTGAATAATAACAGGAACAGTCGCAGTCCCGCTGGGACAGGCCCAGGGGCACAGAATGACCCCCCCCCAAAGCCAGGCCCCCACGGTCCTGCCGGCAGTTTGTCGCCACTCCCTCTCCTCCTTCGCTTCTCCGCGTCTGTTTGCCTTCGCTTCTAATCACGGCATCAGCAACACCACATAACAGAAACACCGGGTCTTGCGTCATCTCCACTCCTCCTTCCTCATTCTCTCCATCATCGCCCCTTTGCCCTTCTCCACTGCAGGTCACAGTCACAGCGTCCCACTACATTTTGCCATGGGGGGCAAACTGAAGAATGTAATCCGTGAAATCTTAAAAATGGGGAAAATGTGAAGCAGCGTCTCCTAGAAGACATCAGAGATGCTATAGTGGCCCGACCGTTGGCCGTAGCGGGAGGAACGTGACACGAATACGAGGATATCAGTGAGCAGAGATGGACAGGTATCTATGTCCTGAAGTGTCCTGTTCAAGAAGAACCATGTGACCTGATGGGTTTTTCATTCAGCGACTCTTACAAAACATAGAAAAGGGGGAGGCCACAGGGGTCAGGGGGGGTGAGCCGGGCAGGTCTGTACGCACCAACCCCGGAAGACACAGGTGGAATGCTTACCCTCTCCACCTGACCCTCCCGCTGCTTGGTCTTGTACAGCCGGAGGCGTGGAAGCACGCTCTCTGCATAGCCCTTGTCCTCAAAGCCCTCCAGCAGTCGGCCGTGAAAGGCGAGCCGGCAGGTGTTGGCGTGGATGTCCGTGTCCAGCTTCGAGCCAATCACCAGGCAAAGAGCAGGACATGTGACAGGCTTCTCAAACTCCAGCAATGTCCACTGCTCTGGGTGTGTGGATGCCCCTAATTTCCCAAGGGCATATTCCTCCTGAAAAAGGTACTCCCTCTCGAAATCGAAGGAGGTCTCCACGGGGTCTGGAAGCGAGCCTGTTTCCTGGGACTGGGGGCCACTGGGCTCTGAAGGTGAGGAAGAGGGGGGGAGCCCAAAGAAGGACGCCCTGGCCATGACAGTCTCGTGTCCCACGGAGATGTGGAACTTGCTGCGTGTGGCAAGCGTGCCGCGGAAATAGCCAATCTTGCGGACGGATATGATGGCGGCGTGAAGGGTGTGCAAGGAGCCTGGGGAGCACACTAGACCCCTCTCCAGGAGCTTGGGGTCGAACTGGGTCACGCAGACGCCCACTCGGTCCCCCTGTATAGCCCGGCTAACCGGGCGTCGGAACATCTGAATGGACTTCACTTTCCGGGTCACCTGGATGGGAGGGGAGAGAAGAGGAGAAGAACACACATTAGGGACATGCACACCTACTACAGCAACAGCGTTAAAATGCATTACATGATCCCTTCAGGCATACCAGTGGAACATCTCCGTTTCAGAATATTACGCATAAAAGTAACTGCTTAAAACTGTTAAGTTTAAACTGCTTGTTTTAAATTAAAATAAACCTTGTGTGCAAAATGACTCAATGCATTTAACATTGATATAAAATATGATATATGGATGTGGGAGTTGTCGAGGAAAGCGAGGAAATTATAAAATAAATCAGCTTTCTTTCTAATTTAAGCTCTTCATTGCCATCTAGTGATCAATAAGTGTATGCACATGTGCATCATTTTTACTACTGGTGCAGCCTGCTATTCTTGTCAGTACATCAAGGCAACTGCTTTAAATTAGCAACCTTTGTTTCTCTTAACAGCAAACTGCCCTCAGCTCCTGAACTTCCCAAAACAGGCTCACCATTGTTACAAGGTATAAAGAGAATAATGGAAACCAGAAAGTCATAACTGATATGGGCACAAGCACAGATGGCACATTCTGACATATTTTTACCTACAGGTCACCCCATCAATATATCTTCTGCCCTCCTTGCCCACCTGCCCTCTGCTCCTACCATACTCCCAACACCCTGTACACAATGGTACCTTCAGGGCTGGGATCTCCACCATGTCATTTAGGGACAGCGCCCCCTGCAGCACAGTGCCTGTCATGACTGTTCCCTGACCCCGGATGGAGAAACAGTGGTCCACAGCCATCAGAAGGGGGCCTGAGGGGTCTCTGCGAGGGAGGTAGGTCTGGGATTTCAGCAGCTTGAGCAACAGGACAGCAAACGGGGGGGGGGGGGGGGGGGGGGGGGGGGGGCGTCAATTAGGGACAAGCAAACAGCAATATGGAAGAAGAGTTCAAATGCACAAGGATGGACTAATCATGGTTGATATTTATAGTGTAAATGCAAATGCACATACAAGCAGCCTTTACAGTCTATCCTCACCTCAATCAGTGTAGAAATTCCCTGGGGCTGCTCTGCTTCTGCTGCCTCAGGCCCCCCAGGCTTTGCTGCTACTGCAATCACTGGGGCATCCTTGAATCTGTCAGATAATAAATTCATCATCTGCTGTGGCAATGTTTTTTTTTAAAAACACACATACTCTCGTGCCACGTGTATGTGCCTTATGATAAACTGGCATCCCATTTGGAGCATACTCAAGCCTTGAGTCTCATGCTGTCTGAAATAGCCTCCAGACCCCCAGTGAGCCAAACCAGGATAAGCAGTTAGAAGACAGATAGTGGACATACATTTACGTATGTACACAAATGGAGTGTGTCCATAAGTGTACGTACTGTATTTTCACACCCAGACACATACAGTATAGCAAAGAGAGAAATGCATGGACAGAATGACCCCTCCCTCGAAGGGCCCACACCTGGTGCTCTCTAGGGTCTTGTGCATCCTCTTGGTCATCTTGTCTATGGCAGCCTGTCTCTTCTCAGGGGCCAGCAGGTCTGTCTTGTTGAGGATGACCACCATGCGTGGACAGGTGAACTCTCCAATCAGAAGGCACTCGGCAGTCTGTGTCTGCAGGCCTTTCACCACGTCCACCACCAGAAGCATCAGGTCAATGATCTGGGCACCTGTAGGTGTGGACGAGAGCGCTGAAACCCACGTAGACGCCTAGATCGCGTGCTGTGACCATGCTGGGTTTGACGTGTCGGCTTCCTGCTAACACACCTATTCCCACAGAGCGCAAACAGAAAGTGTCAGAAATGCAGCTTTTACCAGCACAAAGCTCACTGTCTGGTGATACAGGACGGGCATAGAGAGGATGCATAACAGCCAAATGCAATCTGGCGTGGGGGCAATATGACAGGGGGGTGGGGGTTTGGTGGCAGTACTACTTAAAAAAATGGTAACATCAGACCATTGTTGTACATACTTTTTTTAAAGTTGTTTATTGATGGCACATTCCATATCTGTCAATAGAGGGAAACAAACACTTAATAATTATATCAATTAATAAAGACTAGTTTTTCAGTTATAGATTTACTTTTTTTTTAACCGTTGATAAATTAAGTCCTCAACAGTATGCTTGTCTCCAGGGCTCCACACAAAGTAACTGCAGCCTGATTGAACTGTGAACAGCCTAACTGTGTATGTGACGCAGCCTAACTGTGTATGTGACGCAGCCTAACTGTGTATGTGACGCAGCCTAACTGTGTATGTGACGCAGCCTAACTTAGCGGGTTTGTTCTGGGAAGAAAGTCTCTCCCAGTGTGCGACCCCCTTTCACATACGAAACCCGTTAATGCATCAAGTAAAAACGACACGGAATAGATACATTTTCATTCCCACTCAATCCATAACGGTAAAGTAACAGGGGCTGTGTTGAAAACCTAAGCGAGTTTCAGTGTGTGTGAATAGGGTAGTAGAGGGTGAGGAGAGAGATGTGTCGTTACCCCCACTTAACAAAATGCCTGCCCATTTACCTACGTATTCTGCCTTTTTTTTTCTTGGAAAAACCTAAGCATGTTCATTTTATTAGTGCTTTATAAGAGCATCTCTGAAATGACAACGTAATGTGGCCTATTAGTGCCGTCAAGTAGCTGAATTCTGTAAAGCGTGCAGAAGGGGTGGGGGCAGGTGTTGAGCTTCCAAGATGTTGGGTTACATGACTGATTGGATGGTCGGATGGATGTTTTTTTTGCCATGAAAGATTTCGGTGTGGAGGCTGCCACGAAGAAATGTCAGCAGTGGAAACACTGAAATGACAGCATTACTGCTGATTCAAGACTCCTGTGTTGGTTAAAGGGCCTAGTGTGATGTAGGGAGAACCTGAACTGAGGTTACACACTAACAGTGTCCAGGAAAAGAAGCACAAGACAACTTATCACAAGCCATGAATGAGGATGGAAGGTTTGTGTGTTAATTAATGCTATTTTTGTTTTATAGCAAAAGATCATAAATTCATAAATTCATGATAGGACTAATGTTCTTAACTCAAGAAAAATGTCATGCCTACATTTTAGCTCTGTATTTTCTGTATACATACATACAGCTATTCATAAAGTAATAACCATAACACACCATGGTATTTTTCACCAATTACAAACCAGCTGCTTAAAATTATTTGACAGCAGCTTACACGGTAAGTTGCTGCCACCTGCTGGTGACAATCGGCATTCTCAATAGTCTGAAAAGTACTTTCTCACAGTACTTTTACGGTATACATTTGCTCAGAAATCACTTCACTGTAAAGCCAATTATACACACCAGGCGGACTGGCATTACGGCTGTACATGCTGCATGAAACGTCCCTGCCGCCACCAATATGACTTGTATAAAACGTGAACTAAAAGTCTAAAGTCCAGATGCTCACTTTTCAACCACCACACACGTTTCACGTTACAGTTCAAGAAACCGTGTTATGACCGTGTTATTGTCACAAACAACAGGTCAGCAACCCTTTTTAGAACTTAAATTCAGGGCGTCAGAAGGAATCAGGATTCATCAGACACAAACTAAAAAACATGCCCCTCTTCAGTCGAACCCAGTACACCACCACTGACCGCCTACTCTGTACCTCTCCAACATGCACCTCCACCCACCTGTCATGATCACCTCAATGCAAAAATGAAACACACACTCCAGAGCAGTGTCATGCAAAGATTTCGTTTTCAACGAACATCGCATACACACTGCGTCATGACCCCAGATGCCCCTACCCTTTAGACCTACATATACCATAACCTCGGGGCTGTCATAAACAAACAGATAACAAAAAGGGGCGACATATGAGAATTATATCCCACTGAGCCCATACCTCCAATGATGGTTCGAATCAACGATGCATGGCCCGGACAGTCCACCAGGGTGAATTGCAAGTTGTCATAGTCCCTGCACCCGCTCTCCTCACGTAGGTGGTCGGGCAGGTCCACGGTGAAGGAGGAGAAGCCCAAGTCTAGCGTTATGCCCCTCTCCCGGGATTGGGGGTTCTTGTCAAAGGCGGCTGTGGACGCAGTACTACTAAGCGCTTTAGCCAGAGACGTTTTACCACTGTCCACATGTCCCAGTACCCCAACGTTAAAATTAAGGGTCCGACAGGCATCCCCTGTACATGCGTCCGACATGGTTGCTATAGACAGGGAATAAGAAACTTAAAAGTAACTGTCACAAATGCGAGTACCGAAGTGCGCTTCCCGTGTAACCAGAAAAAGATCCCCCCGAGAACATATCCCGAAGAATCGTTCCCACCGCGTCGAAATGCAGTATTATGAAGGCTGCGCTGAGGATATTCTTGTTACCGAAAACTGTTTCGTAGACTGAAATAACATAAGATACGAGTACAATTTTTTTTAAAACTACCACTATATAACTGTTGTTACGACCACTATAAATATTGCTTCTGAAACTAACTGAAACGAAATAAAAACCAACCTCAAATACTCACCGTTTTAAACAAGTTTTAAATACTCGTTAGCTAAAGTAATCATTTCCTCAATGATGGAATTTATTCGAGGAAACATAATTTAGTACATCGCGTTCGGATGAACTTTAATAATACCTGGAACAGTTTCTTCCTTTTTTTTTTTTACTTTTGACCTGTCCGGCAGTTTTAGCAAGCTGAACAATGGTCTGAATGCCATGCTGTGCCAAACATGTTTGTATGAACTATGTATAGGCCCCTCATGTTGATCGATTTCTTTTTATGTTATTTATTTAATTTTTAGCACATTTAAAATATTGCAGTGGCTGAGCTGGCCAAAGAGGAGGGACACATTAGAAGGGGGAAGAAAAAGAAATAAAAGAAAAGAACCAAAAAAAGAAAACAGAAAAAAACGATATGGGTAAAGTAGAAAACACAATACACAATTGCTGCACCTGTAAAGGAAAGGGAAGAAAAATTCTTCCTATTTTTAAGTAAAGTGTTACCAAATTCTGTTATTTGACATACTGGATACTTCATCCTACCAGAGAAGAAACTGAGGCAGTATGACTGAAACTGCAGGCTGGACACTAGACACGCCTTCTCTCTTCAGTATAAAAGATACTCAGTGCAGTTACTTTCTCACTGAATGCATTTCATTCCAGTTCAGCTGCATCATGAGGTCCTTTTTGCTGCAAATCCATATAGATCAGGGCACATTTTGTTGGAAATAGTTTTTATTTCCCAATGCCAGTATTTCCCAAACTGCCTGAAGGCAGCATCCATCCATCCATCCATCCAACTAATGACTACTTATCCTGATCGGTCATCATTGGGGGATCTTGTAGCTCAGTGTTTCTCAAACAAGTCCTTGTGACTGTCTGGCAGAGGGAGCAAAAATGTGCACTTTTTGCACGAGGACCAGGTTGGGAATCACTAATAAGTTACTGCTAAGTCTTACCCAGAAAGGGCCGGTGTGTGTGCGGGTTATTGCTGCAACTCCCTAATTAGATTACTAATTCGAGGACTAATTGGTCGAAGAGTCCCCACACCTGGGTTTGAACATCTGACCTGAGTGTTATCCCAAAGACCAGCACACACACTCGCCATTTGCAGTCTGCCCACCCCGGGTTACAGTGTCCCTCCTGACCCTGTCCAGCTTAAACAATGGGAATATGAATGAATTTACACAAATAGAAAAAAAATTAAAAATACCCTGAAAAGTGCCTTTATTTTGCCCACATTCGTGGGTGTATTTTAGTCTGTTTCTGGGACAGATTACTGGTCTTCAATCTGTAAGGACTGCTCTTGTAGACACTGATGTAAATTCCGTGTGCAGCATGAGTTAATGTTGTAGGTGTCTACCCAGCATCCTCTGGCCACATGGCCACACACACACACACACACACTGTCATGTAATCATATCTTTTTGGGGACCACTCATTCATTTCTATGGGAAAAATGCTAATGCTGACTGTGACATCCTTAACCCCTACCCAGCCCTAACCATAACCATAAGTAACCAAACAAAATACATGAGTTTTTGCATTTTTAGTTTTTTCATTGCAGTCACAGATTTTTATAAAATAGAGTTTTCCCATATGGGGACCAGGAAACTTCTACCCATAAGGTAAAAAAAACATGGGTATTCATCACATTGTGGGGACATTTGGGCCCCACAAGGTAAGGTATACCTGGACTACACACACATACACAAGGCAACCTTTTTGTCCACAGGCTTCATAACAGGAAAGCATGTTCTCTGGAGTGATGAATCACGTTTCTCTTTCTGGCAATCCAATGGATGAGTCTGGGTTTGGCAGTTGTCAAGAGAATGCTACTTGCCTGACTGCATTGTGTAAAGTGTAAAGTTTGGTGAAGGGGGAACTGTGGTGTGGGGTTGTTTTTCAGGGTTTGGGCTTGGCACCTTAGTTCCAGTGAAAGTTTCTCTTAATGCTGCAGCATTCAAAGTCATATTTGAAAATTTCTTGTTCCCAACTTTGTGGGAATAGTTTTGGGACAGCCCCTTCCTGTTCCAACATGACTGCGCACCAGTGCACAAAGCAAAGTCCATAAGGACATAGATGAGCGAGTCTAGTGAGGAGGAACTTGACTGGCCTGCATAGAGCCCTGATGATAGAACACCCCTTGGATGAATTAGAGCTGAGACTGCGAGCACAGAGCCTTCTTGTCCTACTTCAGTGCGTGATGTCACAAATGCTCTCCTGGTAGAATGGTCAGAAATTCCCATAAACACACTCCTAAACCTTTGTTCATTTGAGCCTTCTCAGAAGAGTTGAAGCTGTTATAACTGCAAAGGATGGGCCAATTTCACATTAAAGCCTATGTATTAAGAATGGGATGTCACTAAACTTCATGTGCTTGTAAAGGAAGGTGTCCCAATAGTTTTGGCAATATAATGTATTTACATTTACATGTTTACACATACATGGAATACACTGTCGTTGTTCTGATAGCATCTAATTTTATTTTAAAAATGTACTGTATTACTGAATACATAAAATGGATAAAAAGGTGTCGACACAGTTAACATTAACATGCTCTGTTGGATGATTGTAGCCTTTTCTGGTAAGTCACATTAGATAGTCTCTGTGACCTACATGCGGACAAACGTGGACTTTAATACTAACAACAGCCAAACAGACAAAAATACACAGTGACTATAGCACAATCCATATGTCCTTCTCTTTCTTTCTTTCTTTCTTTCTTTCTCTGAAAGACAGAAAACAAGCTGTTCTCTGTTCTTCATTTCCCGAAGACGCTGGGAGGTGGAGCTTGGTTGCCGCCGCTAAGGGCTGTCTCAGTGCCAGAACGAACCCCGCTGAACACCGACGGGGCCACTTTCCCCATGCGCTCTGCAGATGACCAGGCAGTGTTCAATGAGCAGCAGGCAGTGAGAGAAACAGCCAATATGATTGCTGCCAAAACTTCACTGCAATGACTTTTTGTGTAAGCTGACCCTACCAAGTGACTCAAGCTTACTGCATGTCATTAACTAATAACAACCCCCACATATATTGCAGTATTTCATCGTCTGTTCCCGCCCTACGAATGGAGCCAAGACAGACAGGCATCAAGCCCAGAATCTGACCGCTACAGCCTTTCGACCATCTTTGACTGGAAACTGAATCCCCCCGTAGGTCTCATTGTCTGTCTCACTGTGTCATTTTTATGCTACTTACGTTATGCTCAACTGTTATAGCTATTTGTACATTTACTATTATATTATGATTCCTGTTTGGTTTTGAATTTTGTTCGCTGGCTTCTTGAATTTCTAAAAATTAGCACAATCACTATTTTTGTCAATTTATCCTTTATAAATAATGACTCCCATATATTATTGTGTTTTTAGAGAAGTGCCACTAGTCTAGCACATTTAGGACTATCAAATCACAGACTCTATTGCTATGACGTAATATTCTTGCTAAGGCAACCAGAGTGGTGTTCTATGGGCCTCATTGTATCAGTGCACATATCCTCCATCATTTGGATACATTTTCATGAGAATTCCCAAGGATAAAAAATATCAAAAGCCAGCTCACCGCATTCCACCATGACCTCATAGGTCTTGCTCTTTACTTCACCCTTTAGGCCCAGCTTGCTCCTGGCTCCTTTCAGGTCCTCCTCCTTCACCGGGGGCCGCTTTTTCTTTTTCACTTCACCAGACTATGAGAAGGGAGGGAAAATCCAACAATTGTTCTGGTGGCTTGTTTCTCATCACCATCTAAACAGCTGAAGATGTTCTGACCGAACACAACAACAAGTTTAGAAAGATGTCCACTGTGTTCTTTTCCCTTGTAAGCTGCGATTCCACACCAAGAAACTGTCTCTAACCTTCCCTGATAAAGGTGATTTCCTTCTCTCTCATCATCTTTGGCATGCACAAACTTACACTCCAATGGGGGGCCTCACCTGGGACATACTGTAGTGTTTGGATTCCGCTTCACAATCCTTGGAATGAACAAAAACCAGGGGCAATTCCAACGGTGACTGGTGCTACTATAGACCTCTTGTTGTTTCAGTCCTATTTGTACCCTGCAGCTCTCTCAGTGGGTGAGTAAGTGGGCTCCCTTCTCTGTTGTCATGGTGTATTATTAGGAATGACGTGACAGATTGTACAGCTGGGTAACGAGCTCCGTAGGAACAGCTGAAAGGGGTAAAAACAGCAACCTGTCAGCCTTACTGTGTGTCCAGTGTCTTACAACTTTCATATAAGAAAAAGGAAATTGAAATTATTGTACAGAATGAAAGGGCTCCAAATACAGTTATACAGTTAGACACAAAAGGATAGGAGAGAGTTTGATATTGTGTTTCCTTATGAATGAAAGTTGGTACCAATGATTCAAAACCATTTGGTAATAATGACATTTGCTGATATGCTAAGGACGCAAAAGCTTTTACTGAATAAAATGGTTTCATTGGCTCTATGTTTCTCTACACGTAGAATCAAAAGAACAAACTGATGAATTCCATTTTGAAACAGAGAAAACACATTTGCCATATGAGATCTTGTTTCACTGTCAGAAGTGACTTTATGACATGCTGGCCAACTTAAAATAGCATATGAGACTACATCTTTACCACTTTCAAGGCTTGCCATTTTAAAAAAAATCTAATGACCCTCTGAGCTGAAGAGTCAAACTTACGAATACATTTTGATCTATTGTGTCACAGCAACAAATAATCCACCAGTCACCATTGACCACTGAAATCCTCTTGATTAATCAGACAACTTGCAAGCCAGTCCATGAGTGTGAAGTGCACACTGTTGTAATCGCTAATAATAGTCATTGAACCAAAGCACTTCATTGAGGGTCCAAAGCACTATAGTGCTTATGGACCATTATTGTTTTTCTTAGGAGTATTTATTATTATTCTGCCCTAAAACTGAATGGGCAGCTTAAACCGTAAGACCGAGGCCGACCAAACTTGGTAGGATGATGTCAATTCCTACCCACTACTCAGACCCTCCGACCCAAGTCAGTCAGTCAGTCAGTCAGATACACTTTTCGGCCAATATCTCCTGTCCTGTTAGTCCTACAATCGAAAATCTTCTTTCTACAGATGCAGGCAGATATTCCCTACAACTTTCAGAGTGAAACTATTAGGCTCCACCTACTTAGAATGTTTGCTAATTTGCATAATTTACAAATACATACTTCTGCCTTAAAGTCCTGCACTATCTGACCAAATCAGACAAATGAGGTGTCAAACCGATCAGTCCTCTGAGCTGATCAATTGTTATAAAAAAAGTCTGTCATTTCTGTATCATACGGCCATCTGCCACGCCCAAACTCCACCTAAATTTGGCCAATTTCAGTCTGACTGCTATAACTTCTCCTTGCCTTAGCCTACCTTAACCAAACTTAAAATCCTACCTCCCTGCTCCATTCTGGGGACACCATACAAAGCGGCCCGCATTTAGTCAATAGGGGGCGCTACAAATACCTACTTCCAATATCTCCTGAACTGCTTGGCCTATCCAAGTGAAATTTGGCATATGTCTACTATGGCCAAGCCTGAGGTCAGATCCATAGTATGGGAGTCATTAGTCATACAATGGTGGCCATAATTAGCCAATGAAAATCAAGCATGCATTTGACAGGCCTAGTAATCACCAATTTCAACTAAATCTGGATGATACATATGTCTACAGACCCTGACCTCACCCTGGTAAGGGCACCCCAGTCTGCCAGATGGGGGCGCTACAGTGACAACTTTTGCCTATTTCTCCAGAACTGTCAAGCCTACAGTTGATATTTATTACCAGGCCAATTCAGTGTGACATACCAAATCAAACAACATGTAGAACTTGGTTCTCCATCTTTGCGTTTTTGCATAATTTATATAGGTCTGAAAACAGGACTTTTCATTAACCTCCTAGGATTTTCTCCCAACCTACATAAGTCTGGTATCATTTAAATCAGGAGACAGTCCTTATAAATAATCCTAAACTTTCTGTAAGGTATGGCCACCAGCCACACCCAGACCATACAGGTGCCACACCCATTTCAACCAGACAGCTGTATCTCAAGTCTGCCTCAGCCAATTATCACCAAACTTGAATATATCCTGTAGGACAGTGCTGGGGAAGGGCTCTCCAAATTTTGTGCCAATCGGTCAAACGGGGGCGCTACAGCAATGTAACATGTCTGTATAAACCTGGAAAACCAGTGCATTTTACATTTTTCTCATTTCTGTTCCATCACATATTACTGCTCAAAATCACTTGTACTCCAAGTTCTCTGAATCATGCCAAATCAAGATATATGTACCGTCCAATGACAGTGCAGTCCCACATGATGTTTAAAAACTCCATAAATTACATATTCCTATAACTCCTACAATGTCCACCCCACCTAGGTCATTCTGGTAGCAGGTGAATCAAGACACTGCCCTTATGGATAATTTATAAAAATAACTTGACCTGCCTGTACAGTATGGCCACCAGCCCCACCCACCCTGCACCATTTCCATGCTTATTTCAATCAAAGACCTTAATCTCAGCCGTGCTTCAGCCAATCCTCACCAAATTTGACCCACTAATGTAGCACTGAACCCCAGACAGGTCCTCCAACTTTGGTGCCGATTGGTCAAACGGGGGCGCTGCAGCCACTGTCCAAATATGTCTAAGACCCACCTTCGGTAATGCAGCTGAAATGTCCTTATTTTTCTTTAAACATTCAAAGATTAATCACCTTTCCCTTCATTTAACTCCATATTTTTTATTCACTTTCATTTTCCTGCCATTTTCAACTTTTAGAAATGTATCAAACTTCAATGATACTTCCGGCTGTGTACACTGCAGCAATTACAATTTTTTTATAAATTAGCCAGCAGGTGGAGACAGTGCTCCATTTCAATAATGCCATTCAATACTTTCAGCCCTTCTCCTGTGTAAATGAACAGCCTAGAATAGGATACAGCATGATATTACTGCTGTTACATGCAGCACTCCCGCAACTCAGCACTTTAAGAATATGCAACACAGCCTATGTTAACACAGGCAGTATAAACAAAGCAACCCTGTAACATTTAGACTTACCAGATCAGGTATGAAGGTGCTTAAGTCTATCAACTACTCAGACCATCTGACCCAAACCATGCATTCAGTCAGGCTCAGGCACTCCACCACAGGGTTCTACATTCTGTCCTACATTTGCTGACCTGTTAGACTGACACTCAACAATCTCCATCCTCATTTCTACCTACTACTCAGACCATCTGACCCAAACCAGTCCTGTTCTGTCTGACATCTGCTGACCTGTAGTTCTTTTTTATTATTTATTTTTTATTATTTAGGAACTCAGTACCACAAAGATCAATATAGGCACAGTTAATAATACTCATGACATTTTTTTTACATAAATGTCAGTCTTTTGGAGAGTTAATCTGCCCGTCATAAAGACATATACTCCTTTATTTATCCAGTGAACCAGTGGTGTTTTTTAAGACAACATATGAAGCAGAGTTTCACCGAAAAAAAAAAAAAAAACTCAACATCCGTATCACATAAAATATCATTTTAATGTAATGCATAATTACCATTTCCATGTGAAACCAAAGAATGTGCGACCGTTCAAGAGATATCTGACAAAGTATTGTGCAAACAGCACCACCTTCAGGTTGATAAAAGGAACATCAGTGAAGCAAAGCATTTTCCGTCTCACTACTTGGCCATGGTGTCACCAGTAGCAACCCTCCCCTAGGGTCTTCATAAAGTTGCTCAGGATATGTTTGAGTGTCCTTCTCCCAGAACATCCTGCTGAAGGAAATAATAAAGACTGATCCTCAGGAACAGGGTTGGTGACCACTGCTTTAAAGTTTTGCTAATTCCAGGCACATTTCATAAAGTCTATGCATATTTCTTAATTACTATACTGTATCCATACAATTTGCAATTCAATTAATAAACAAATGACATAATAGCTCTATAACCAAATGAGAGAGATATGCCCAATGAAGTGTGCATTGAACATTTGTTGTGCACTCATGATATGTTGTGTGCACACGATACACCAGGGTTTATGCAGGAATCCTAGAGTTGAATTTACTACCTTTTTTACTACCAACAATGGGGCAGCGACCTTTTTTTTTGGGGGGGGGGGGGGTAAATCTTCATACCCATCATAAATATTAGGTAAATTAATGTTTAACTGTTTTTATTAAGTATTGCCATTAAATATTATTTGTTGTTTTGTAGTGTCAAGTTGAGTTTCGTTTGTCCTTACCTTAACTCTAGCCTTTGGGTTATCCTAACCATAACCCTTAACCCCTCCTAATAAAGTCAACTTGACACTTAAAACAAACGACACTTGACAACAGCTATAAACATTAATAAAAAATTTATAAGTGTGTGATGTGAAACATACACTAAGACAGACACACATTCTCATACACACAGTAGTCATACACAAAGTAGTGAATTATTGTTAATTTGTAACAATAACTTACACTGTGGATTGAAACACTGTCCAAAGAGTCCATGGAATGGTAATGGGTGGTAACCATTAGTATTTATTGGTTGGTGCAATGTGAGATGAAAGTTTGAAAATGTCCCAAAATACATCTTAAGAGAAAAGTTTAACAATTTTACCTGTATATACAATACCTGTATTGTTTATAAGTAATTTCTTTAAAATGTGGCGCAATGCCGAACCGAATCATGTACTGTATGCAGTCTTATCCTTGCCACACGCGAAACTTTTAGCTGTATCAGAGTCAGTGAACATGCTTCTGAATAGTTCCCCAATACCCTCATTAGAATTGTACGAATGATGGTTAGCTGCGGTGTTCAGGCACCAGAGAACTTCAGCTCTGAGAGCCGAGGTTGGTGACAGTAATATAGGTCTGCTGTCTGTCTGCTGTCTGTCTGCTGCAGCCGCTGTGGTGCTACTCGCACTAGTTTGCTGCTGAGGTGGTGTGATGGCAATGTTTGTGCTCGTAGCTGACCTTATGTTTGCATTTGCCCCGGTCCGTGTAGCATCACCGAACTGCTCCCCCCGCACACGAATCCGCTGATGATGACTGGCGGGATTCTCGATGAGATTTGATCTCGGTAGCGCCGTTCCA